GATTCTCCAGCAGGGCCTTACTGAGGATTCCTATGTCTTGTCTTGTTACCATAGATGATCATCTTTTAACACTCACTTTTGTGGTTTAGCTTTTTCTAAACAGATTGTTATTTATCGTGTTAATATATTTTCTTTTGTTACAACTTCAGTTCTGGTCCTTATAAGTTTATTGTGTTGTTGTTGTTCTTATTAATATTAGTCTTGCTTAAAAATGGATTGTAATCCTTCCATATGTACATAGCTGAACAGCTACCCACAAGTGAAGACTTCAGCACGAGCAATACAATAAAACAACACAATGCTCTGGAAGTGCAGGCTACATTTCATATTATCTTGGCCTAAGTAAATGATCAGAATGGTTCTTCCACCACAGCTCATACAGAAGGAGAAAAGTAAGGCTGATCCCTGTAATATAAGAGGAATTAAGGTTCCCCCTGGTCATTGATTAAACTCCTAAAGACTCATCTCTGCCTTGAATCCCTTGAAACAATCCCTTCCTTCCTCAGAATGTTTGAGATGTAACTCTGCACCATTGCTTCCTTCAGTATGTGCAAATCTATGAAGTCCCCGCCTCTATTTACACCCACTCCTCTCCATGTGCTGCAGATGGAGCACACCAGCTTACCGACACGGTGCGAGGGCGCTGAAAAAGAATGTGCATCAAATAGTATAGGTTTGCAGATACAGGGATACCTGCAGGTGGAGGTGTTGTAAGCGTGAGGTAGGTGCAAGTCTTATTCATCTGGTGAGCTGGGAGTCAAAGGCGCAGGAACGCTGTAAGGCCTAAATCTGTTGTGTTTGTAGTATTTATTTAGGTCGAGTTTAAATGTGTGTAAATTTTATTGTTTCAGGTTCAGGGTGGCTGGTGCTGAGGAGTACAGCAGATTGACATATCAGGTATTTTAAAGTATTGCCATGTGGTTTTTAATATTTAATCAGTATAAATTTTACTATTATTGTGATATTGTTTTTAAGATGCACTGTAAAGAATAAAAACAAACCTCTTAAACAGTTTTTAACCTTTATGTTTTCTTTTTTAATGATTTACTGTTGTGTTGCAGAATTTTTAAATTAAAGCTAGTACCTCGTAAAATCAAAGAAAATAAGTATTCATTTACATGTTGACCACAGAGTAAACAGTGCAACGCATGCAATTAATGTTCAAATCAAAAATCTGTACCTTTATGAAGAGCATTTGTTCTTTCACAACATTTGACCACAAAATTACATACTGTTTACTGTGTTTAAATCAGCAAAAACTATATTTTTCTTACAGGTATTTGAAAGAAAAATTGTTTACCCTGAATTGTAATTTTACAGATAAAGCAAATTTGCTGAACAAAAGCATTCCTTGTTGACTGTGAAAAAACAAAAGCAATAACCCCACCCCACCCCAAAAAAAACACCCTAACTGTACATATTGACCACGTCAATAATCTGTATTTACAAAGAGGAGTTTGTTGTCATACAATATGTGACAGTAAAATGACTGTATTTAAATCAGCTAATAACGTCACTATTTTACAGCTGTTTGCCATTATTTTTAGTTTTTATCGTTTATGAACTTCACAATCTTACACTGTTTTTTTTTTCCCACATGTTTTTTTGGGCACTCTTGCAGCCAGATTTTTACACCATTTATTTACAGATTTTTTGTATGTTTGTTTTTTCTGCAGAGCATCACCATTTCCTCTGTTTTGTGGGGTTTCATTCTTTTGTCTAGTCTGCCTTGGCAGGTGAGCTGGTAGCACACAAAAACGTCTGGGTAATGCCCTTAACTAATTTTCTTTGTTTGTTTTGTCAATCTGTGTTCCCCAACAATTATTACCTTTACTCTGTTCAAATCCCAGTCAGGCAGCTGGGCAGGCTCAAGAGGTGAGTGTTAATTGCGCTCTGTGAAGATAATCACATGTAGAAATTTTGAAGTGTGTTATCTCCCCTGGTGGACAAGGCGTATTGATTGCAGTGTGCAGTGATGTGCCAGTGGGACTTGGCTCTGCCCTGTTAACAGTGGCTGGGAAGTAAACTGTGAGATTCAGGTGGGTGAATATAAATTGTAACACTGAATTTCTGTAATAAAATCTCTTTGCTCCTTATCTCCTTTTGATTGTTATTCCTTATGCTAGTGACCTGTGTGGCGTGTACCCGTGTTGTAATATTGGATGAGTTCAGCCCTACTTATCTGAACAAGAAACTGTTTCTGGAGAAGAATAATGGCACAGAAAGCTCCACCCTGCAAGTTCACAGGATTGATTCATTACATATTAAACCATTGAAGTCTGAATCAGTGTCTTTGAGACTGTCATCTTGGAAAGGCTCTGCTACGTTGTCGCTGCCGATTTAGCTCAAAATATGTCTTCCAACGTATAAAAACACAAGATTTTCTACATATTCACCAACAGCGGTACAATAAAGTAAAGCATCTAAATATTTCTTTGACCGCAACCCATGAATTGTGATATTAATTAATTAATTATGATGAGAAAATGAATTAAAGTCCTGTCTGGTCATTGATTGAATCATTACAAACTCGTCTCCGCCATTTCAATGTTACATGTTTAGAAGTTTTTTTTTTTTCTCCATTTAAATAATCGCTTTCTTTCTCAAAATGACTTAGATGCAACTCTGCATTGTTGCTTTGTCTTGAATGTGCAGATCTATAAAGTCCCCACCTTCTCCTCCACACACACCTCTCCACTGGCTGCAGCTCAAGCACACCAGCTCACCCACAACTCTGCTCAGACACTGTAAAACTACTCCATACTAAACACTAGCAAGTTGTAGCACTGGTGTAATTCAGCCATGCATGTTCGAACTGGGGCTGCAGTTGGTAGCACTGTTGCCTCGCAGCAAGAAGGTTGCCGGTTCGCGTCCCGGTGGTGGCACCGGGATCTTTCTGCGTGGAGTTTGCATGTTCTCCCCGTGCAGCGTGGGTTCTCTCTGGGTTCTCCGGCTTCCTCCCACACGGTCCAAAAACATCCATCCATCCATTATCTATACACCGCTTAATCCTCATTAGGGTCGTGGGGAGGCTGGAGTCTATCCCAGTCGACTTAGGGCGAAAGCAGGGGACACCCTGGACAGGTCGCCAGTCTATCGCAGAGCCACACTTAGAGACAGACAATCAAGCACACTCACAGTCACACTCCACCGGGACGCGAACCGGTTGCTGCGAGGCAACAGTGCTACCAACTGCGCCACCCTGCAGCCCAGTCCAAAAACATGTTGAGGTTAATTGGTGATTCTAAATTGTCCGTAGGTGTGAATGTGAGTGTGCTTGGTTGTCTGTCTCTAAGTGTGGCCCTGTGATAGACTGGTGACCTGTCCAGGGTGTCCCCTGCCTTCGCCCTAAGTCAGCTGGGATAGGCTCCAGCACCCCGCAACCCTAGTGAGGATTAAGCGGTGTATAGATAATGGATGGATGGATGGATGTTTGAACCGGACACTGATTCTGGACAAGAACAATGTGAGGGAAACTGGCACTTTCACTTTGATGGGATTGGTTCTTTGTTTTGTATGAAACCTTGGACTTCTGAATCCTTGTTTTTGAGACTGACATTGGTACGCTTCAGTTTTAAGCTGAAAATGTTCAACCATGGTGTTGACTGCTTGTCTTTCACAATAAAAAAAAAAAAGATTTTCACCATAAAAGGCCTTTAACTAAAGAACTGAAACATTTCTCCCACCACAGCCCTTTAAAAAGAAAAACAGATGCTCCTCACTGCAGTATACAATGAATTAAAAAGCCTTTGTGGCCATTGATCTAACCACTACATATGTACCTCTGTGTATCAAAGTTACATATGTAGAAGTTTTCCTCCCATTTTTACATCCTCAGAATAGCTTAGATGTAACTCTGCACTGTTGCTTCCTCTTGAATGTGCAGATCTACTTTCATGGGATTGCTTCTTTAAGGATTGTTGTGTATGAAACCCTGGAAGTCTGAATCTTTGGTCTTTTTGTCTGAGTCATTGGTACACTGCAGTGTGGAAGAGAGAATGTCTAACAGTGGTGTTTACTGCTTGCTTTCCAGTCAATTAAAAACTAACAAACAAAAAACACAGTACTGACATATTAACAAGGCCAAAAGTAACAAATTAATCACCAGATGGGGTCTTTAAGTAAAGCATTTGAAGTATTAACCCCTAAATATGTATCTGTGCATCAAAGTTAAAGATTTATAGGGTTTGTGTTTTTTTCTTTTCTTAATTTTTTCAACCTCAAATAGGAAAAGTGCTTTTTTTCTTTAATTTCTTCCACCACATAACATTTCAAAGTAAGGGGGAAAAAAAGAAAAATGTGAGACAGTTGAGTTAAATCATTGCAAAGCTTAATTGGCAGTCGGGAGCCAATCAGAAGCTGCACAGGCTGAAAGTGGACATTAAATTTTGAAGACGATGTCACTGACGAGAGCTCGATGTGGGGCTCGATGTCAGCGGCCACGTCCACAACAGAGCCTCGGCTGTAGGTGCAAGAAAAGGAAGGAAAGAGCGTACGGACACATGTCATTCCTCAACAGGTCCGCTGGTTTGAAGAACATCTCTGTCACTCTCTTCTTCTCTCCTCTCTCTCTATCTCTCCCCCTCCCTCCCCCCCTCTCTCTCTCTTCTTCCTCCTCCACCGTAAAGCCGTGGGCTCACGCGCGCTCTGTAACGACTCCGCTCTCGCGCAGCTCAGCTCCACTCCGCACTGCGATCCACCGACCGCACGGTTCCTCTCCGGTAGCGGACACTTAACCAGCACCGACGCCCGGACCGGAGCGCTCACCGGGGCACGGGGGACGTGTTTCTAGAGGAGCCCTTCCCTCCCCTCCCCTCCCCACCTCCCCGTTTTCAGGTTTATACAAGCTACATTGATACTACAGACTGACTTTTTAAGTATTTTTTNCCCCTCCACCACCACCACCACCACCCCCACCCCCCGGAGCGGACGACAAATGCTCGACGAGCCCCGCGGCCGGTGCCTCCAGACCCGCCGGGAGGGAGACGCGCAGAGCAGTGATGGGACAGTTTTCGGGAGGATGCTACCTGACTTTTTCCATCTTCGTGCTTCTTGGTTTGCGAGTCCCGGCCACGTTAGCGAGAGGTAAGCCGCTCCGAAACCCACAGTTGGGCTGTCGGTCCTCCAGAAAGAAAACTCGAGAAGAAGGTGTGTGTGTGTGTGTGTGTGTGTGTGTGCCTCGAAGGGTGTGTTTGTGGTTTGTAGTTGGTTTGAGGTTTTAAAAAGTGGTACTCACACTGGTTTTAGCAGTTTATGTTCGTGACTGTGGAAAAAAAAAAAGTGCGACATTCTTCTTAAATGAAGCGTTTCACTTGCGTTAAGTTTGTGTTTGCGATGCGCAACACGCCGGCTCTGGTGTGTTTCAGTGATTTAGTTCTTTTCCGAGCGGTGGTTTTAAAGGTTTTAAAAGTGAGTCGAATTTCTTCGAAAGCGTACAAGTGAGGCTCGTTAAGAATGAAAATGACTTTGAGCTTCAGATACCTCCACTAAGAGGACTGCTGCTGCCCCATGGCACGTTTAACTGTCAGGGAAGAGGGAGAGCATATTCCTGTGTGTCTTCACCACACTGTACAAGACACGTTTGACAACCCACAAAGCTGCTTTTTTTTTGTTGCACATTTTTACATGACAAATCCATCACATTGGCACAATTTGGATCCAGAGCCATCTTCCCCATAAACTATTCCACTGAGCAAATAGAAGAACCGGGGAGGTTTTGCCAGCCTGTCCTATTTTGCTCAGATGGAGATGAATGCTTGATGGCTGTGAACACTTGTGCTGCTTCTGTGCTGTATATTTAAGTTGTGGATGCTTCTTATTTTAACACAGGCACAAATGTGTGTGTACCAGCTGGTTGTCCATTTGATACCAACTGTGCTTTAGTCCTGTCTAGCTGTCTTTCTAACGGATGATCCACAAACCTGCCATCTACTTAACCGGCAGCAGTGTTGTGAGCTGAGGGGACACTGAGATGTCATGCACTGTCTAAAAATGTTTCTGTAGGGTCAGTGCATAGATCATCATGAAATCTTTTCTTTTTCTTCTGGTGAATCTGTCCTGACCTATTGACATCCATTTAGCTCACATGGCAGTGGAACAAAGATGCATTTGCAAGTCAATTAGTGAACTCGCCCGAAGGTTTTCGTATTTGAATCCCAAGTTTTGAAATTAGCTTCAACTTTGGAAATTTGCATAGCATAAATATTAGATTAAGCATAAGTATCTTAAGGGCAACTTTGCATGTAAGGATCTGGAGGGTTTTGTCGTTTTTTTTCTTTTGTTTTTTAAGATAGTCTGAAAGGCATTGAGGATAACCTTTCAAAACTGGCTCTAAATTGTATTTAGATATACGACCTGCATTTCCACAGGGCTGCCTCTCCTCCTGAAACGTTGCATGATGTTTGAAAGGAGTGACCTGTGCTAGGCAGGAAAAAAAAACAATAATGTTTTGAGTGCGTGAAAGTAAAATGTGCTTGTGTGTGCAAGATGTAGTTTTTATAAGCTGCATAGTATATTTTGTAATATATCTGCCAGGTTTGCAGAGGCTCTCTACTCGGCTTAAAATGAATATTTATGTTGTGCAGCAATATGGAAATACTTTATGCAGACATGAAATGACGTGAAATGGAGAAGGCAGTCTCCACAGCAAACTGACTAAATAATGTAAAAGCACAAGTAAGTTATGGAGCAAAAGATCGGGTCTCTTGCCGCCTAAATGCACATTCTCCTCTGCACTTGGTTATTTATTTGTCAATTATAAGCCAAGTTATAATTCAGTGATCTAAATTTATTCCATACATCTTGCAAGGATGGGAGTCATAACTCATCTACAAGCATATGATTTAAAGCTTAACACACTGAGAGCATCAAGCAACGACATAACAAACTTCCCCCGAAGGAGAAGTCTACAATCAGCGCCTACAGGTGGATTCAGGGAAGAAATCGGGGTTGATGAAATGTTGAGCAGCAACGATGAACATGACAGAGATGTTTGCATTGGGACCAGTGAAGCAGCAGTGTTGGGAATGAGAGAGTACATACTGTATGTGTATATGTAAGTAGGGTACACAGCTTGACTCATCTATTTTGAAGAACTCTGGTGTAAATGGCTTTTCTCCATGACTGGCAAATTAGGGCTGCCTGACATTTAAAAAAAAAAAAAAAAAAAAAAGTGAAATTGTCACACTTGATTTTTCTGCAATATCAAAAAATACAGGAAATTCCACCAGATGACTTGAATAGCTCTATTTGTAGTAGCGATATAAATGTTCGAACAAATTAGTTGCGTTGCCTAAAGTAATACCGAAGGCGTACTCGCTTTTGGTCAGCGTCCTCCTATCTGTAGCTAAAATATTTCCATACAACTGATTTCCTTCTCCACCCAAATCTTCCTTCTCAGTGTTTCTCTCCTGTTTCTCTCTCCTAATGCTGGACCCATATGGAGCCAGCATGTCAACAAAATCTGTATATTTTTGAATAAAGTAAAATAAATAAATAAACCCAACAAACTTCATATCTATCAAACATCATATGGAAATTAGTTATGGAAAGTGGAAAGTAAGAACCGTGTGACTTTTCTTTTTGAACGAAGCATCGCAATGTTGATGTTGAAACAACGTACTGTGCAGCCCTACTGTGAACACCTTTTTTTGTGGATCATTCATGCCAAAAAATACCTTTTTGTGTTTTCAGTTGTCATATTATTTCAGCTTAAACCAACTGGAAAACATTTAGACATTTCATATTCTGATTTTTTTCCTAAAAAAAACACACAATGTTTTGTCGGTACAGATAAACACAAAGCGTTCATTTTGGTATGAAAATAACTCATTACAGGGCAAGGTTAGCAATTTTCTTTTCTCCTCTTGTTAACAAAAACCTTGAAAAGCTCAAATCAATAATATTTTGACCCCCCTGAAAACTGCTGCCTGTTTTGTCAAAGCCTGATGTAGCTTCTTCCCCTGTGCCCTGGAGCTCCATTGTTGTCCAAAAACAAAAATATTAGTGTGCCACATGGTTTCAATGGGTGACATGGTTCTTCATTATAATGAACTCGAGCCGAACACGGACACTGCATTTTGAGTCAGTTCACATGCATAATCCTGATGCTGTAAATGTGCCAAATGTGTTTCAATCTGCAGTTAAAAATGGTCCCCAACAAGGCTATTATTTACTCCCATAAAGCTACAGTGTCCAGATGTTCTAATGGCCTTTGATTTTATAAAGCTGACATCTTTAGTACTGAATGAATAGGTCTGAGGATGACTGAGCCCAACAGACAACAGGCTAACACAGTTCGTTTTGGTCTTTTTATGGGATTAGTCAGCAGCTAAGAAAAAAAAAAAGTACTGAATATTGGGAGTGTTATCCTTTCAAAATATGATCTCTACATGGTATAAATTAATTGTCTGGACTACTTCTTTAAAACATCAGTTAGGTCTTAATGGGCTATATATGGTTGCCAGGGTGAAATCAATAAATGTGCCCCCTTGGTCTGATATGACAGTGTTGAGCCATGTAACTGGCCAGCCTGAAGCAAGACATCACTCTCCCTCAACATGCAAAGAAGCAAATAGGAGCAGCAGCAGCAGCAGCCTGCCATGCTCCATGACAAATGCCTAATTGGCCTTAGATCAGCTTAGGTAGGATAACCACCACTCGAGCCTTCTTGCAACCAAAATGTCATTACATAGAAAAATATGGTCATTTCAACAGCACAGCAGCACTGCACGATGGTAGCAGAATACACAATTTCATTTAGTTTTACTATCATAAATTCCCTTTCACTTTAATAGAATTCAACGAGCTCTTAGTGGCCGAGGCTGGGTGCTGCAGCCCATGAAGCCCATTGTACCTCCTGCTGCTGCTCAAAACGTATCCTGGCTAGAGCATGGAGTAAGTGAAAAAAAAAAAAAACTCAAGAGAGAAACAGAGAGTGAGAGGGAGCGCAAGAGAGGAGGGGAATAAAGGGCAATGGAGTCATCTCTGCCATGTTTTATTTATCCCAAAAAATGACTGCCAGAATCTTTCTCAAGCTCCTGCTTTGATTTAACTGACATTTCACATGATATAAATTCACGAGCACAGTTGTGCTGGTATCCACAGTTGTTTCTATTCTGTAGGAGATCGCATGGTGGTCATATTGCCCAGTTTCGCTACTGCATTATTCAAAGAGAACCCATTTCTCCATCCAACCCATCAACCCTCTCTCCCATCATTTTCTTCCTCACATTCAGAGGGAACCAAGCTCACCCGCAGCCAAAGAAGGGTAGAAAATATTGTCTACAGGGAATAGAGAAAGCTACAGAATCAAATGTGCGGAAACATTCCTGGGAATGTAATTCAAAGAAAAGAAATTTTGCTTGGAAGGAAACATACATAACACTGATGAAGTGTGATGGCAGTCTGGCTTGGACAGAGCTACTGTAGTAATCAAATAGCAATTGTTTTTTGAGTATGGGGCATTGAGGCTTTGGAATCTCATCAATAGATCAGTTTTTATACATGGTATTCCCAGTAGAGGTAGGATTGATTGGAAGAGAATCCCTTTGTTTGCTCCAGTACAATAACAATGCTTTCATTATAAACCAGTTGATGTAACTTCACATTTCTGCTCGGTTTCATTATGGATACGTATAGATTGACGGAGCTCCTCGCTCTGCTTTACAGTCGAGTTTTGTCTTTGTTCTGCTGTGAAATTTTTTCAAAGTTATTGGATGTAGCAGGCTTAGATATTTTTTTTCTAGAGTCATCATTTATTTTGGATGCACTTATCAGGTTTTGTTGGCCTGGATCCTGATCCGTGTCCAGCAGTATTGGGTTTCTGCCGATGCTCACTACACATAATAAAAATAATTATATACATAGCAGGAGAAGATATGCAGCATTGATTAAATGTGCATATTAAAATGATAGCAGTGGCCTACTAAATTTGGCACATCGTATTTTTCACAAGGTACCTGATCCAAATAAGGTCATGGTTCGAAACTATTAAAACCGTTAAGCTTAAATTATTAAAATGAGATAAATGAAAGTTTAAGCGGGGGAATTTGACTCCTGAATTTGTTTAACGGGAGAAACATTTC